ATTCCCAAAATGGGTGCAATGTGTGAAGTCCATTTCTGGTGTCCCCGCCCGTGATTTTGCTGTAATATTGCAAAGACGGCGAAAAACGTTCTTATTTGGCCATAACAGCCGTAAAAAGGTGCTTTTTGGCAGGGCAGATTAGTGGAATCGCATTACTGGAATCTTGGAATCTTACATTTTTCCTTTTCGCACCACATGGCAGAACCAGGGCAGAATAGATCTCCCGAATGTACTTTTTCATTTTGGCCCTCGTGACAGAATCAGAGCTTATTTAATCTCCAGAATGCTCTACCTGTTCCAATTTCCCAGTTTTTCTGTTGATCACTGGATTGTCTGGTCCAGACTCGATTATTTACAGACCGCTCCCATATAGCTGGAATATTGCTGAGTGCGGCGTAAAACTAAACTCCCTGACTCATGTCAGAATTTCAATTACACCAGAGCATGTTGGATAAACGTGAATAGAAAGGCCAGGGTCATGCGGCCCACGTGCACAGTAGTGTGTTGACAAATTTGATAAAGAAAATCGGGGTTGCGTCTGGGAATTGAACACACGATGTGGTTCACCTTGGACACCAACACTGCAATGTGGTTTATGGATCCATGGACAACAGGGTCATCGTTTCTTAAAGAATGTGAATAGAAAGATTTATAACACTTACCACCGATCTCTTTATATGCAATAATATATGTTCTTTTCTTGTTTTCACAACAGAACTCAGACGACAAGTTAGACAAAGATGGAGTACACACAGCGTGCAGTATTTCTGCACTTTTCCATATACATTTGAACACCAACATTTTGAAAGGTGTGTAAAACAACAGCATGCTGGTTCTGAGTTACCCAATTGGGATGTTTCATAAACAGCAGACCCACAAGACACGTTCTGAGTACAATGCCGACCGCCATCTGGAACCTCTCGAAAGATCTGTGCGTTTGAAAGAATCGCTGCAGGAGATCGATTCAAATCTTACCTTTAACCTTTTTTCTATTGATCGCCTTCTTAACCTAATATATGTATACTTGATGTTCTTGAAAGGCTTGTAGATGTTGGACAAATATGAATACATCTGGTGAATCCTGAGTCAGTGCACAGACTAAATATATACACAAAGAACTTAATTAAGCACCCCTGTATTTTTGAAATCATAGGTTTTCAACACTTACATGACCCGTATGATCCTTTGACTAATAAAAAACGACAAAAACAAAAGCATACAAAACCGAGTGTAACCTCCGTGTGATTGTATGACAGCCAGCACCCTCCTCCTCATAGCCCCCTGTCAGCCTCCTTATCCTCTGAAGGGGCAGTCTACTCCATTCCTCGTGTAAAGCAGCTTCCAATTGGGCTAGGTCTGTACATGAGGATCCCTTTGTTGCACACGACGACGAATTAACGCAAATATGTTTCAAAGGGTTAAGATCGGGGCTCATTCAATCGTGAGATATGTCAGGGTCTGCTTTGTGTATATACAGATTTACGATGGTCCTGTTTCACAAAGTAATCTATCTGGGGAGACTGTCTTCAGGAAACACAGTATTAAAGCAAAGTGAAATATTGCTGAAAGGCGTTCTCAAACCCCTCTCACCAATCGCTCACTCATTCACTTCGGGGATTTCACAGTGGTTGGACTTCGTCTGCCCGACGCCGTGATGCGACTGTTAAACAGGACAGATTGCGAGACATTACAATTCTTTAAGGCGGACTTCGGCACTGTAAGATTGGCCTGACCTTGGCCAACTCTGGGGCTTCACGGTTGAATCAGTGTAAGTGCGGCACGTCAAGGTTGAACTCAACCATCACAAAAACATTAGATTGGCGCTGGCTTAACTTCACTCTTTAATGTAATTTTGGAAACGTTGGAGAGAGAGTTATCTGCCTTCACGACGTGTGTGTCCACACCTTCACCCAACTTAACCCATTCAACACCGTAGGCCGGAAAACCGGCCAAGACGTCACGAGTCCCCAGACACCGTAGGCCGGTAAACCGGCCAGGCAGTAGTCCCATCAAAAATATATATAATTTTAGGAACCTAACTAACATATGATTCTTTTATCCAATCTATCACTTTTCACAATGTCTGAAAGCACTTATTAAATTTCAAATGACCATATATTATCGACAGGATTAGAATTATAAACTATTTTTTGCAATGTTATTGAAAAAAACAATTCTCTGACACATGCTTCGGCAGCGGGTCCACAATAACATTGTCAAAGAGCAAAGTAACGATGTTTCGAGGAAATCATTAAATAAATTGAATAAACTAATGAATAAAATCAACAACAGCATTCATAAAAGATGTCAAACGTACATATAATATTACTATTTCCATCTTTTTGTGCGATCATGTAATGTAAGTCAAGTCACTGACAAGTGACATCTCGGCTCTCGCCGCCTCAATCTTCACGCTCGGACCAGGGAGACTATATCCTCTGCTCGGACACGATGTTTAATGCGAAAATATATGCATGAAGCATTTATGTCACAGGTCATAACCTAGCACGATACGTCCAATAAGTTCCATAATTTACGTATAGGTAGCGATTTCTTGCTTAATATGTTCAAAATAGCATTATTTTACCCAAAACTTTCGTCTAAATCTAAAAGTTTTCGTTTACGAGGACGGTATCCATTGCCGTAATATGATTGGCTGACTTAGGTCACGTGTCTGACTGTGGTTAAAAGCGTCAATAGAAACCAATCTTTATCCAATACATTCGCTTCTTACAACTGTGAAAATACTCTCGGCAAGGGTACAGTGATGTTGTTGATGCTCAGAGCTTTCAAACGATACCCGACATCACACGATTCGCCTCCCATGTTATTCATACGAAGCTTCGAAAACGGAGGTATTTTCCGTTGTTGTGTCATGTTACCGAGCGGAAAGCCACTGATATCGGGAAATAGGCGACCATACATATTATTTAAGAAATCTTTTTATAATAATTTTCTGATTACGTAAAAATGAAAATATAAACGAAAAAGGCACGGGCATGTTATGACATGTCACAAATGGAAAAAAATCGCCATAGTTTTTGCTTCTTTCGTGGTTTATCTGGACATTATAAATGTAAGCTTGCATTTTCATTACCAAAATAGATCTATTTAAGTTATAGTTGTATTATTTGAATAACATTATAAAAATAAACTTCATATTTATCAACAGTGGGATTAGATCTTTTAAATGGTGTATGAGATGTAGTAGCAATAACGTTTTACAAGCTTATAATTTCCTTCATAAACATAGGCTTCATCTGTGACCTTAGAGTCTCTGGGAACTCAGTGTCATGGCAGTAAATGCCTCTGGTTGACTGGTGTTGAAAGAGTTAAGTAAAACACTAAAACCAAAAGTTGTGAGTATGACCAAACAGTCCATATTGACTAAGTTTTGAACAGCCTCGAACTAATCCAAACATCTATAGATAGAGCAATCCCACTCTTGTCAGCCATCTATAAGCTTTTTGTAAGGTTCTGCTTGGGCGATTAGAAAACTTCCATGCACCTTCACCCTTGCAACATGGATTCAGAAAAGGTATTGATTCCACTATGACGTCTGTCCTCATTCTGGGTGCATTGCATATGCAGCAGAGAACAGCAGTAAATTATTCCCCTGCTTCCTGGATGCTGAAAAAGCGTTGATTGTGTATGGCACAGTGGGTTGTTTTACAAGCTCTGGCGTACTGGTATTCCTGTCCAGATTCTCCTCGCCATAATGGCCATGTACAGTGACATGAACACTTGTGTCCTCAACAAAGGTCACCTCAGTGAATGGTTCCCGATTTTACATGCAACAAGACAAGGCGATGTACTTTCTCCATGGCTGTATCATATTTACATCGATGAGTTGCTTCAAAGTCTGTATAACTGTACACACGGAGCAAAAATCCACCACTTGTACTGAAGCCCCTACACAAGCAGGTAACAAATCTCATTTACTAAACATAGTCTCGACGAACTCATGTCCATTTGCCATGTGTACAGCTACAAATGGCTGTTTCGCTGCAGGTATAAGGAACGCAAGATCATTTTTTTCATGAGACTGTGCCATAGATGACGCATTCACCCTGATCCTGGCTTCTTGGTGATGTGGATGTGTCAGAAGTGACAGAATATGTTCACCTTACAAAGAACTTAAGCACTGCCCAGCAAGTCAGTGGTCAAAATATAAAGCACACAGTGATTCCGATTTACATCTAGCAGCACTCCCATTAAAGTAGTAAAAGAATCGAAATGAATATCATATGGGACTAACGTCTTACCTTTTTGCCACATATAAAATATTTTGTAGCTGAATGCCTGAAGGCACTAGCGAGCGAGTGAGTGAGTGAGTGAGTAATTTTACGCCGCAATACAAGAAAACAATCAAAGGTTCTCAGCACAAAATCGTTTCACTGAATGTGCTTCCATATAGTAAATAGTCCAAGGTTGAAATGCTCTTCAAAATAATGTATAAAAGTTCCTTTTGTAAATATCCCTGTCGTTCAGAACGATGTACTGTACTAGAGATACTGAGGAACTTGTGGATAACCACAAGTAAAATTTCCACCCCCACCCAAGCTAAGCCTGACACAATACAAGTGAGTGAGTGAGTTTAGTTTTACGCCACACTCAGCAATATTCCAGCCATATGGCTGCAGTCTGTAAATAATCGAGTCTGGACCAGACAATCCAGTGATTAACAGCATGAGCATCGATCTGTGCAATTGGGAACCGATGACATGTGTCAACCAAGTCAGCGAGCCTGACCACCCGATCCCGTTAGTCGCCTCTTACGACAAACATGGGTTACTGAAGGCTCATTCTAACCCGGACCTTCACGGGTCTGTTTGGGTTATGGATAACACCTACACCTACTACATTACATAAAAAATAACCAAGATAAAAGATTATGTCACATGACTGCCGCGCTCCGATTTCACAATCGGTGTTGAAGAAGATAATGCATCATTTCGACTATCTTGGGTATATTCAACCTGGTGCACACGCTCCCACTACACCGGCTGTGATTTCAAAGCTGGCTGCCTCAGGTGAGTAGGTGGGTGTTGTCTGTCTCAAGGCTGTTGTCGGCCTGTATCACAGTGGTCACTGCTGTCCTAATGTAAGTTTGTGACTTCAGAAATGTTCATGTACAGGTATACAAGCTTTAAATAAGTCAGGTCTCATCACCGATCGGGCTTCAGTAATCCAATATATATTAAATAAGGTAGGCCTCTCCGAGCTATTTTCGTTATCTCAATACAGATTTCTGTGTTTGTTTGTGTGTATTCAAAATGCCTTATACATGTGCAGGCCCAATGAGTGATGGCAATTCTGTATGTCATGAACATCACTTAACACACATTTCATTTCCACTGACAGCTTCACCTTCAAGTGCACCAGTCATACGATATGGCAGGAGGTGTATGTACAGATACGGTCTACTTCCGTAATGGTATAGCGGTCTCCACACAGCTACATGTCCGTCAGCTGATCAGTTATGTTATCGATCAATCATAGTTACCTCTATAAACATAATGGAAGATAAATGTAGTTGTCTCTGTCATAATTACGTTATACCATGAGTACTGGTGAACGCTGTATGTCAAATAATATAATTATATCAAATTTGACATGGCCTGATTTCGTTATGGTGATAAGATGACGTCACATCATAGTTATGTCACATTGTCGATAAGGGCGGACGCACTTCAAGTATGGACAAGTTGATATGTCTGTCTCGCCACATGTTGATAATGCAATAGGCAAATGCTACCGATGTCACTATGTTACAGAAAGTACAGATTAGAGCGTTGAAGTAAATCCTTACTTTATCATATCTAGAAACTGGGAAAACTAAACACATCACCGGAGAGTATTTAAGCTAATCTTTCTAAAAGTGAGTTAACGTCGCCTGTATTTAACGGGTACGGTATCCCCTGGCATATACGGAGATATTTGCTCTACAGCAAAAACTGTCGTTCATGAATGTTCTCTAGTCATGAGTCTTTAAACATTATATAGCCCGAATAATTAACAAGGTGTTAATGGCGTTGGACGTTAATCATGATAACAATTACCGATTATTAAGTGAGTGAGTGAGTTTAGTTTTACGCCGCTTCTAGCAATATCCCAGCAATATAACATCGAGGGACACAAGAAATGTGCTTCACACATTGTATCCATGTGGGAAGAATAGACCCGGGTAGTACAAGCGAGGATTTTCGCCACTGGACTACACCACCGCCCAACCCTTTTTACATTACGATGACGTATCTTTATCAATTTCTTCCAGCTCCCAAATTTTAGACAGAAATACGATAAATTCGGCGTTAGTGCCCACGGAGTTGTGGCTGTCATTATATTCAACCAATTTATTATCTTATATGCAAATCTTGCAACTTGGAGGTGAGGTGAAATGAGGTTTAACGTCGTAAGAATATTTCGCTCATATGACGACGTGCATGTGTGTGTATGTGTGACTTAAGCTGGTTTTATAGTGCCAGCTCACTGAGATACCATGCCGCAGTTAAGCATGAATACCCCACTCAGACACATTATACTGACTCCGAGATGACCAGTCCTTGTTGTACCCTTTAATGCCGAGCGCCAGGCAGGAACCAACAAGTAGCATATTTTAACGTCTTTTGGTATGACGCGGCAGGGGATCGAACCCGCGACCTTCCGCTTTACGAGCAGACGCTGTAACCACTACACCAAGGCCTCTTGCAACTTGGAACTTTGGATAACCACACCCTGTGCAGATATGATGTTGTGAATATTTTGCCTAGTTTTACAAGTTCAGGATTAGTCATTCAGCTGGTCATGTGGGAGTACTTTCAGTTTACGATGCATATCCTCATTAAAACAAGTTCGACATGACGTCACGCCATTATGACGTTAACAATGTGGGGTACGTTCAGTGTGCAACATATACGTTATTTGTTCATAAACTATGTGATTCTGTTGTATTTTTCTAGTTGGGATGGCGACTTCTCAGAAGTTAACAGACCACTTTCTGACATGTACAATATGTACAGAGGTGTTTGACAACCCATGCACACTTGCGTGTAATCACACCTTCTGTCGGAAATGTGTCATCAGCTACACCAAAACCAAACCAGAAGCCATCAGTGCCAAGTCTCTTCAATGTCCATTCTGCAGTAAGATAACGAAAGTGTCTGACCCTGGCAGACCAGTGGAGGAGTGGGCGGATGACGTCAAGCCAAGCTTTGTCATCCAGGGACTGTTGGACTCATTTGGCCCTGGATCTAAAGGTAAGCGTAAGTGTTATCAACTGATCATTTGTGTAAATGTGTAAAGTTCCCTGGATGCCAAGAAGTCATATCAGTCTGAAAATAAATCACACAACAAAAATACATATGTTCTACAGGGGTTTTAATGCACTATCTACGTTGTGTGAATTTAATATATGTTCTGTTAGCTAAATCCCCAGTAGACAGCTGTATCCATTTAACCTCCTAGGTCCACAAAGATGTCGTAGTGCTGTGACATTCCTAAGCTAATGGTGAATAATAAAGTTGGGACAGGTCGAAACTTTACGATGGCTTCGTGGATCGTGATCCCTGGATGTTTGTGGTGATGCTTTTCGAGTCCCAGACTAGCTTTGACTATTGTCTGTGATTTGTCTGCATCATAGTCCGTACACCAAGTTGTCAGTTGCTATCATAGCTACCTACATTTTATCCTTAACATCATTTTTACTTTTACCATTGTTGCGTATATTCCTTAGAAACGTTTATTATTTCAACCTTTAAGCGTAAATCATGTCATAACGGATTGTTGATTTGTATCAGATACAACTAACTGCCGTTATTGTAAGGAAGAAGGGGAGACAACCCTTGCTACCTCTTGCTACCTCTTGCTACCTCTTGGTGCTCTGTCTGTGACGACGCCCTCTGTGAACGATGTGTATGGATGCACAATCGCCATCCATCCTCCCGTCACCATGACGTAGTCGGCATGTCTCCAGAGGTCAAGGTCAGAAGAAGAAGGCAAGTGTTTATGTGTAAAGATCACAAGGATGAGGTTATAAAATTAATGTGCAAAGACTGTAAGAAAGCAGTTTGTCAAACATGTTGTATTATCTATCACAGAAATTGTAGATGTGTTGTCGAAATTGAGTCAGAAATATCAGCAATGAAATCAGAGCTGGAAAAGAATAAACATAATTTGTTGGAGAGGTGTGCTGAGATAAAAACACTCGTTGACAAACTGAAAACAACATCCAAAGAGGAATCAAAGCATTATTTACAAATGGAGTCTGACATTAAGTCTGCCACAAACAAAGCGATTGATATGCTGAAACAGAAGGAAAAGAAGCTTCTCATTGAGCTGAAAGAGATGTCATACAAACACATAGGTCAGTTGAAAGCAGACATAGAGTCAGGAGAGATGTCAGTACAGGTGTACCAACAACAGGCTGAGGTGATAGACCAGGCTCTACAGTCTGAGTCTGACATGGACGTGTATGAGATGTATCAGGGACGTGAGGCCGTTGATGTGGACGCTGTTACAGACGTGAAGGAGAGGGGGAGAATAACCAGAACCGTTTTCAGACAGGACACAGGACAGCTGAGTAGAGCACTGGATGATCTACAGCTGGGTGAGATTGATGTCCAGTATGAGAGTGTGCTGGACATGAAGGCAACTCCTATGTTACACAACACTATTAACGCCACAGTCGGAGACACTGAAGAAGCAAGTCTTTTAGACATCACAGTGGTTGTTGTGAATGGTGTAGATACGGTCGTTTTCACAGACGGCAACAACAAAAGTGTGAAGTCCTTCTATACAAGTAATGACAAAGTATGCCACAGTAAACTCAGACTGCGTGCCAGACCGAGCGGTATAACAAGGCTGAAACACAACCAGGTGGCTGTCACTGTGCCGGTTTCCAGACAGATTGTAACAGTTGAAGTCAACCCCGACCTGGTGCTGCTGTCAACCATCACAACCAGCAAAAAGTACTTCGGTATAACGTCTCTGACACCATCAACAGTAGCCGCAGGTTCCGATTCCCCTCCCTGTATTGATATCCTAGATATGACGGGACACGTGATGAGGAGTATCAGTCCACTCTGCAATGGAAACAACATATTACAACGACCATCATTCCTCTGTACTATGAGTAAAGGAAACATCCTTGTGTCTGACTGCTTGTCCACGTGTGTTATATGTTTGACCCCTTGGGGAGATGTGGTGTTCACCTACAGCCCTACAGGAGCCACAGCACTGGAGCATCCAGTTGGTATCACAGCTACCAGCACAGGTGACATCCTGGTTGTAGACTACTTTCTAGGCAGGGTCATCCATCTGACTGAGTCGGGGAAGTTTGTGAGAAATATTCTGACATCCCAGGATGGTATTGAAGATTCCACGGGTCTGTGTCTAGATAGGTGTGGCAACATGTACGTGTGCATGTCAAATGTGGTTAAGATTTTCTCACTGCACTAGATGGGGAGTGGACTAAACCAAGTTTTGTTATAACAGCTATATGTCTTTGTTGTGTTGCTCAGGGGGTGTACACATCTGTTTTGAACTGTGGTTGTTAGCGTTAACATTTTAGAAACATCCACCATGTCGGCATCATAATGTTTAGTAATGTTTAGTAATGTTTAGTAAGAAATCCATAATTTATCACAAGTGTGTCTTGAGCCAAAGCCTGTATATATCACTTTGGCTTTTGTTTCTCTTTGCTGTTTAACTGACTGACTGACTGACTGAGTTTGGTTTTACGCCGCTTTTAGCAATATTCCAGCAACATCACGGCGGGGGACACCAGAAATGGGCTTCACACATTGTACCCATGTGGGGATTCGAACCCGGGTCTTCGGCGTGACTTTGCTGTTTAAACAGTGAGGAAATGACAAATGTGAGTATGACAATTTGAGTATGACTGATAGATGGATCTTATGACCATGGTAACAATGGTAACTGTGTAGGAAGATATGGATAATAAGAATAAACAGTCAGTGAGAGTGTCTTTCAACTAAACAGCACCACGCACCAACACATTGTACACACCTGAGCTTAACAGGTTGATTTTACTGCCCTTCACTTAATAATACAGCAAAATGTATCTTCCTTGTACAGGACTTGATACATAACACGAGGCATTTCCTCGCACGAACACTGTGGTGCGACTGAGGAGGAGGAGGAGGAGGAGGATGGTGGTGGTGGTGGTGGGGATGATGTTGATGATGCTGATGATGGTGATTTGGAGATTTACCGTGCACTTTTCGCCATGTGACTGAATGCAGGCTTGTTTTATGATGAGAAAGGATGAGTGGATTACGTCACGTGACGAATCCGGGATAGTCGAGGTATGTGGACGGACGGGGTAAAGGTAAAAGTTTGAAAGTTATTATTATAAGTTGCTGTGCCCTGGGTGTCTCAGAGTAGGTTTGTCTTGGTCGAATATGTCGCTATGTTATTTACCACTTTTACAGCTTATTGGTATTAAACTGAGGTGAAACTGACACTGTTCATGTTGTTCTTGATACTTTGATTTGGATACACCGAATCTAGACCAGGGGACATCCTGCTTCCGGCGAAGGCCATCAAAATAGCGTTTCTTGGGGAAAATATTGCTGGTGCTTGTTAAACACACCTGAACACACCTGAGACCCGACATTTGCGACAGGTAATTGTCTCAGCTTATCTCCTATGATGACAAAATTGATGTATTCACCTGGGTAATTGATGAAACATTAGATGATCTGAACACTGGGGAAGGAGTTTATTTCTCATGGAATTCTGGATGATGAAGAAGAGTAATGGGAATCAAAATTACAGAGTTTCCAGCGGAAACGGCTACTTTTCTGAAACGGCAGTGAGTGAGTTCAGAATTTTAAGTCACATCGGCAGTATTTCAGCCATATTGTGACTAATTGCTGAAACTGTAAACAGTAGGCAATAAGTGAGTGAGTCTAGTTTTTTGCCGTACTCAGCAATTTTCCAGCTATTTGGCGGCAGTCTGTAAATGATCGAGCCTGGACCGGACAATCCTGTGATCAACAGCAACTTGCCCAAGCTCGATCCATGCACACGCACACTAAACACATACCAAACCAATGTAAATTAGAATCTATACTTGCCCAAGCTCGATCCAGAACCAACAGAGACCAATAGCCCCTGAATGTCAACACTAGGCTGTAGGTCATCTGCCCACTCCACCACTGGTCTCTCAGGGTAAGTCACTTTGGTCAGCTTTATGCAGAATGGGCACCGGAGGAACTTGGCACTGATGGCTTTTGGTCTGGTTTTGGTGTAGCTGATGATACATTTCCGACAGAAGGTGTGATTACACACAAGCGTGCATGGATTGTCAAACATCTCTGTACATATTGCACATGTCAGAACGTATTCTAGATAAAAGTAGAACCTCGACATTTTGACATCTTGTAAACAAGTGAAACAATCTAATCATACACAAGTATACAAAACCCCATCGAAAAAGCCTGATGTGCTCGACAGTGTCATGGTTGCCTCTTAACTCTCTTTTTTAAGAATTGAACAGTTCTGCATCTTGAACTGAAGAATGTACAAAATTACAGAAAACTTGAAACGCTTCAGTTTATGTAACAGAAAAGTGTGGACGGTAGTTCAGTGCTAGAAATGTTCGCTCATCACGCCGAAAACCCGAGTTCGATTCTCCACATCAAGACAATGTGTTAAGGCCATTTCGGGTGTCCCCGTTGTGGTATTGCGGGAATATTGCTAAAATTTGCGTAAAACACTACTCAACCATACAAAAGTCACTGAAGACGATTCTTTCATCGCGTTGTTCCAATAGAAATCGTGATTCATCACTGAACCAGATTCTACGCCAATTCGGTAGGTTCCAGGCCTGAACGCTGGTGTACCATTGAACTCGATGTCGACGATGTTGTTGTCGAAGCACAGGGCCAAAATAAGGTCTTCTGGCACGTAAACCAACCTCTCTCAACCTGTTCATGATGGTCTGTGCAGAAAGCCTCCTCAATCCGTAGCTGTTCGATGACGCAGGTGATGTACCCGGAGGTAGCGATCCTACGCCGCAGTGGTCGCTCGAGGTCGCCCACTACGAGGGCCATCTGCTACCGTATTCTGCCGGCGATATCTCTCCCAGAGCCGTGAAATGGTGCTTTGGTGGACATTCATGCGTCGGGCAACTGCACGTTGAGACTGCACGTTGTGAATTGTGTATTCTGTGACACTACACGCCGAAATTGAAAATCATGCTGTTAAATACGGGTATTTTACGGGTGGTGCGTTTTGTTGTGATGTTTCAAAACATAAACACCAGGACTGATAAACAGAGCAAAACCTTTTGTAAAATGAATCACGTTTAATTCATTGCTACATGAAATTGCTATTTTCATGATGCGTTTCTTTTTTGAGAGAGTATACTATTCGAGTTACTTTGTAATTTATTGTACCTATTTATAGACAGAAACGGACTTAGCGTATTTCGTTCTTACATGTGGCATGGTACGTGAAGTGGCGAATTGATCAGTGAAAATAATTTGGTTACATATTACATTCTCATAACTCAATACAGTTATACACCCTTATACTGCTTACAATTCCATAGAGGTGATAACAATTGACAAAATCCACGTAGGCCTTGTGAAAACACACGGTAACTTCTGTTAGTCACCTGGTGTCGAGGGAAATTGAGCACCGGATCAGATGCATCCGACTGAGCTGTGTTGCATTGGGCGATGACAGTTTTGTAGCGTTATAACAGAAGTGGACGGAGGCCTTGTCATAGCACATACTTGCAATGAACATCGGGCAGTCACCCTGTGTACCCGGTGTCGAGGGAAATTGAACACCTGGTCAGAATCAACCAATCGAGCTGTGATGCATTTGACGATACTAGTGTTGTAGCGTCATAACAGAAGTGGACGATGGCCTTGTAATCATACTTGCAACAGGGCTATTAAGGCTCGAGAGGCGGTTCATCCGGGACCAGATTTAAGGTGACAAGTGTATATTCACAAACCTGTCCTGGTTCTAAAATGCGCAACCGCTAGATACGTCTTTACGAAACGGGACCAAATGTACTACCACTCTTAGCTGCAGCAGCTGTTCACAGTCGTAATAGTTGGCTACTTTGGGGATGAAAAGATTTCTGCAAAGATTTTCGGTTCCTTACTGACAGATGACAACCAAGAGACCATACGAAAAGGTGCTTTTCTTTAGTTTAAAATAATTTTGACAGCCAGTACATTTCTATCGTTCATACATGTTTGTTTTCAATATGTTGAACAGTGTTTGTCATAAAATGTAGTTTTGAATAATCATTTTCATGGATTTGTAAATATGAAATTGTTTTTTTCAAATTGTATTTACTGAATTGTTTATTAATGATATTGATAAACTCTCATTTGTTACAAACTTTATCAAACAGGTATTCTTTCATTTTTTACCATACTGACTCATACCCATTCTTAATTAAAATATATACATAATTTCCCAATCGGAAACTGTTTTTACAGTTGGCATTTGTTAGTTATTTTATACATATATTTGTTATGCTGCAACAGTATTTAAATATTTATATTCCAGTTTTATAACTTATTAGTTTACATATTAATATTCATATTTGTTAGGAACTATTTTCTAAATATAACCAATGGAGACAATTGGGTTTTTGCTTTGTAGAAAGCTTGTAAATGCATAAATTCTTGAGTAATTAACATTAATAGTTTTTCAAACCATCTTCAACAGATCTAATAAGACAGATGCAAAATTTTGTATACTTCCGGTGGGTTTAAAATATAATTTTACTCTCTTCCAAATCTACAGGATGACTGTATGACAGTTCAAGTGACAGAAATTAACAAGAAAAAAAGATATAAGATATAAATTGTTTGTAGTGTTGACATGTTTTCAAATAGTGTCCCATATCCGTCTCTAAAGATGTTGAACCTAAAACTAATATATCCTGAATAAATAACAGTTCTCACAATATAACTGAAAATATATAACATGTGAAACTTTCCCATTTATTGTGACTACTTTTTTGTGCTCAATTTGCCTATGATGGCATGTCATTACAATTATTTCTGTTACTATTGTCAGGTATAATAATTAGAAACAAAAATATCAAAACCCTCACCCTTTTGAATGTTAATAATGAAACATTTATTACGCAAAAGCTACCTCTGTAGTCCAGTGGTAAACACAAACTGTTTGATGGACAATATTAGTTTTACAATTTGTACTTGATGTTATGTATAAGGTGATAAGATCTACTCTTCCCTCTGACTCACCTTAAACCTGACCCAGCTGCAAAACACATGTGAGAGGAAATATGTTATGCTTACAAAATACAAACAGTACCTTACAATGCTAACATAAAGATATAATTGATGAATTAAGCATGTAGATGTTATGTTTAACTGAACATTCTACATCATTAACAAATGCTAAATGGGGATGTAATGATCAAGTTCATATACAGATTATATTTATAAGGGACAGCTATTCAGAGCCCTCAAATAAAATTTGAAGGATTTATTCATTACTATTCACAAATTGTAATCTATTTTTTTAATTTACACTATTTATTACACATTTATGTTTTTAGAATAAAACCTAAAAATTTCAAGATATATATATTTCTTTTGCACACCTTAAATACTTAGGATGATTACTGAAACAAACATAGCCAAAATGTACATTCATGATTTTTGTCCAATCTTTGGTCACAAAAAAATATTTTTGTAAGGTTCCAGAGAACTTTATAGTGTTATATACTGATTATTGCTCAGGATAGATTTAAAGTTATTTAACAACGTAAGGCCTCGCGTTGTCCGGTGACCTACTTACGGACCCTCACATCGGGCAGTCAAACCGGTGTCGAGAGAATTATCCACGTGCGCTTTAACGCAACGTAAGCTGTCGGACGTCGCTGATATTTAAATCAAAACGTCATTATTACTTTACTTAGGAAATAAACATCATGTGTTGGCCAATTTCCGGGTGTTATTTATTTGAAGAGAATATTTCATTTGAAGCACGGGAATATTTCATTTGAAACCTCCGGCTGATAATCGACATTGTAAACACCAAAGTGTAAACCAAAAGGTCCACACGTGTTTTTGTGTCTGCACTCATTGACATCGAGTACGGGTACAGCAGTGAAATGTCATCAGCCGTCCGTTTCGGCTGTCTCCCGTGGTAGCATCTGGAACTGCAGCCCCACAGCTCATTCCGACTTTACGTCACAATATGATTTAAATGACGTTACCACTGCTGACGACGCAACAATACAATGGTGTTTGCGATGTTTGTACATATTTTAAAAACGCAGCGAAAGGTCTTGTAATTTTCGGAAATCGAATACCATTCGATCATGTTTTTCAACCAATCAGATTAAAGAACACAGTGACTTTTGGTTTACAATAAAGGTTACATAAGCTGAACCGGAACTGTAGTAAACTATCCTAACAATGGTTGCGATATGGTGAGTGAGTTTAGTTTTACGCCGCACTCAGCAATATTCCAGCTATATGGCGGCGGTCTGTAAATAATCGAGTCTGGACCACGCAATCAAGTGATCAACAACATGAGCTTCGATCTGCGCAATTGGGATACAATGACATGTGTCAACCAAGTCAGTGATCCTGACCACCCGATCCCGTTAGTCGCCTCTTACGACAAGCATGGGTTACTGAAAATCAGTTCTAACCCGGGTCTTCACGGGTGGGTTACGATATAAGTAGATTGTTTGATCATTAATGATGCCTCTTCCTCGGGAAATCATAATAACATATTTGTAAATGTAACTATTATCTACGCAGATGATTATTTCTTTCAGACTGTAGTACTAATATCACAATTTTGATTCCATCATTTATTGATTGCTCGAGACTTTTTAGTTAATTTGGAAGGAGCGGCAGCATTATATAAGACAAACAGAGGCGTCCTTGAAGGTGCTTTAAATTTGTATCGAGCGAATAAATAGTCATAACGATAAGACATGTCGAGGTTTTCTGTTTTGAGACAAATGTGTTTTCATGCTTATATGGAGGTCGAATGTATACGGGGGAAAGCACTTCAATAACCAATAGTATGTACTAAAAAGACACATTTGTACAATATTACAATTATGTAGTTAGGGATCATTATCAAATAGTATAGCGATAATACCAAGTGTACCAAAAAGGATGTTGGCACCCGTCACAAACACATGCAAAGGCAAGTCAACTATCCATATTTACTGGTGAGTCAGTGAGTGAGTATGGTTTTACGCCGCTTTTAGCAATATTCCAGCAATATCACGGCGGGGGACACCAGAAATTGGCTTCACACATTGCATCCATGTGGAGAATCGAACCCGGGTCTTCAGGGTGTCGAGCGGACGCTTTAACCATCAGGCTACCCCAAAGCTCCAAATTAAGTAAATAGGGAAACATTGGTATATAAGTCTAGAGCATTGCATCGGACACTATTTTGATCACTGGTGCCTTCAAGTTTGAAATGACCTGTCGAACGCAGCTCCTTGATTACTGTAACTCTGTTGTGTATATTTCTGAGAAAGAAATGCTTGGCACTCTTTGAATCATTGGTAGAGAGAGGATGTTTGATTGTACCTCAAAACTTGTGACCTCAAAGGCTGGAGCTCCTGGCATATTGCTGGACAAAACGTTCAGAAGGTTGACTACTGGATCATTACTTTTGTCTTGTTCATGTAAAAGTTAAATATAATACAGTATAAACGTTTGCTGCAGAGAGTCTTTATTTTTTAACCCAATGGCAAAATGGCATACAAAAAACATACCAGTGTATGACGTGTATGACAGTATGGACCCAACACCCAGTGAAGAAAAAGAACTTGAAGGTAGTATAATACTTTGTACAATCCTTCCACAAATGCTCAGCTGTTCAAAATGACAATCACATGCAGTTCATTAAAAGGATTTTGTCATTATCCCATCTACACTCGCATTAGTGCAGCGCATAAACCTTAACCTCACTTGACAAGCACACATACAAACAACCGCACCCATCTAGACAAACACCCCAGGGATACTGAATGCCATCTTGTGATGTCATAATGTTCCTAACAAACTCCCCCGAGTCATTCAGATGGATGACTCTGTGGAGGAAGGAGTCTGCAACCAGAATATCACCTGAAATGGTACTTGCGATCCCACGTGGGTACTTCAGTGACGTGTTTCCTGAAGGGCTGTAGGTGAACACTATATCTCCCTTGTTGGTCAGACAGACGACATACCTAGATCCGCTGTCGGACACAAGGATGTCCCCTGTCCTTGTCGTAAACAGGAAGTTTGGAAATTTGAAAACGGGGTAGCCATTTACAAGTGGACTGATTGAACTCAGCACGTGCCCAGTTACGTCCAGGATATCAATACAGGGAGGGGAATGGGAACCCGCTGCTAGTGTTGATGGTGTCAGAGACGTAATGCCATAGTACTGTTTTCTGGTTGTGATGGTTGACAACAGTACCAGGTCAGGGTTGACTTCAACTGTTACAATCTGACTGATGCCCAAAACGGTTACAGCAAGTTGGCTGTGCTTTACCTTTGCCATACACCACGGTCTGCCCACCTGACCAAGAAAAAGCCTGCTGTGACATTTCTGGTTGTCTTTGGTGTAGAAGGACTTCACACTTTTGTTTTCGTAGTCTGTGACTACGACTGTATCTATGCCATTCACGACAAGCACTGTGACGTCTATAGGATCAGCTTCTACAGTGTCTCCAACTCTGACGGTAAGGATGTCCTGAAACACAGGAGTTGCCTTCATGTCCAGCACACTCTCATACAGAACGTCTATCCCACCCAGCTGTAGATCGTCCAGAGTTTGACTCAGCTTGTATGAGTCCTGTCGGAACATGATCCTGGCTACTCTTCTCTTGAGGTCTGCATCCTCGACATCCTCTACATCGTCGGCGTCATATCCCCGATACATCTCATACACATCCAGGTCAGACTCAGATTGAAGAACCTGGTCTATCAGCTCCGCCTGTTGTTGGTACAGCTGTATTGACATCTCCCCTGACTTTATGTCTGCTTTTAACTGCTCGGTGTTTTTGTCAGACGTATTTTTCAGATCATTGAGAAGGTTCTTTTCCTTGCGTTTAATCAGGTCCATTGCTTTCTTAGAAGCAGACTTGATGCCTAATTCTATTTGCATACAACGTTCGGATTCTTCTTTGGACGCATTCTTCTGTTTATCAACCAGCATCTGCATCTTTTCACGTTTCCTCAACAAATTTTCTTGTTTACTTGTCAGTACTGATTTCAATGCAGAGATTTCAGATTCAGTTTCAACAACGTCTTCACATTTTTGGTGATGAGTAATGCGACATGTTTGACAAACTGCTTTCGTGCAATTTCTGCAGATGAGTGTTATATGTTCATCATTGTGATCTGTACACAACTCCCTTCCCATTATCTTGACCTTGAGCTCTCTGGGCATGTCAAGTACATCATGGTGACGGGAGGATGGGTTCCGGTTGTGCATCCGTACGCATCGTTCACAGAGGGCGTCGTCACAGACAGAGCACCAACATGAAGCAGGAGTTGTCTCCCCTTCCTCCTTGCAATAACGGCAGTATGTTGTATCTGAAACAATAGACAATCATATAGTCTTTTCATGCAAGTAACAATGGGCCTTAGGGACATGGATGATCTGATATGTTTCAATGTATTTATGGTCAAATGGTCCCTTCCACTGACTGAAACATTGCCGAAATATTTAACTCCCTCAGCCTTCCACTGATTCACCCACTTGAACTGGAATATGAGACTGTCAAATCTGTTTCATGTGTCTGTGCATAAACACGCAAGATCACAAAAAAGTAACACAAAATCACACGAGAGGAGTAGAAACAAAATTCTAATATCATATATTAACCTACGCCTCTGGGCTCCCTTGTCTGACATAACTAATTCGCATATGCCAGGAACGTTCTTCATATGTCCTGCTCGTTAACATACCACGAGACACTGTTCTTCCATGTAATATATTTCGACTTAAAACAGTAACATTCTTAACAAATTCTTTGGGTGTTTGTTTGTTTGTTTGTTTTGGTTTTGGTTTTTTTGGATTTTGCTTTGCATATCAGTACATCTTAACCTATAGATTATATTGTTTCAATCGTGGAAAAGTGAATATTGGTCACATTCATCACTTGTCGTGTAGGAAACCCATAATGATGCCAGGAAACCCATAATGATGCCAGGAAACCCATAATGATGCCAGGAAACCCATAATGATGCCAGGAAACCCATAATGATGCCGGCTCACTCTGTGAAACCCAGGAGCAGGTTTATGATACTGATAAACCTGGAATCATCATCAGATGACGTAGAGTTCGAACCGTCAGCTTGAGATTGGGCATGTTAAAGGGTCGTGGAGAAACTGTGGCACATTTTTGGTGCTGGGTACCAATGTTCTCGTGGTGTTAATATCTTAATAAAGTAAAGCATGTTAACGTATGGACCCTTTTTCCATATAGCTGGAATATTGCTGAATGTTGCGTAAAACTAAACTCACTTACTCACTATTATTTTCCATTCATTTGTCCTGATAAAGGTCTACTGAAAAACAAATTTGGACTATGTTTTTGTTTTGTTTATTTGTTGTTCAATGCCACACTTAGCAATATTCAAGTTATGACAGCGGTCTGTGAATAATCGAGTCTGGACCTGACACGCCAGTGATCAATAACATGGTCATCGATCTACGCAAATTGGATACGATGACATGTGTCGAGAAAGTCAGCGAGCCTGACCACCCGATCCCGTTTGACGCCTCTTACGATAAGCATGGCTTGCACAAGACCAATTCTAACATACATGTGGAATTATACATTCATACTGAAGGGAATAAAGCTGAGCAATATATTATTGTTTAAAGGATTACTTTCAGATTCTGTGTCCGAGTCCGGGAATCTGTGGATGATAGAACTTGGCATGACGTCTTCCGCCCACTCCTCCACTGGTCTCTCAGGATCAGACACTTTCATCATCTCATAGCAGATGGGACATAGTTGGACCTTTTCACTGATAGTTTCTGGCCTGGTTTTGGTGTAGTCGATAACACATTTCTGACAGACGGCATGATTACACTCAAGTGTGGATAGATCGCCAGACACCTCTGTACACATTGTACAGGTCAGAAAGTTATCTGTTATCTTGTCAGAGGTCGCCATCTGGATTGAAAGAAGAGATCTCAATATGTGCGTAGTATAATAATCCCACTCAGGGTTAAGTGTTCATGTGAGTATATAAGCCATGGTTGGCTCTAAAGGCATTGTCCTTGAAAATGTCGTTCTCTACATTAGCTCAACATCACTGTTTGAAATTCATTGATAAACGCATGATAAACACATAAACGTATGATATAGCCGGAATAGTACAAAGGAAATTTCTTAGGTCTCTGGAAAGTTTTTTATGTTTCTGAAATTCTCAAATTCTCATGAAAACTGTTTTGACTTAAGTACGTACTATTGCAGAAATATTATTCATTGCTGTTGTTGTTGTTTAAAGCCGCACTTAATAATATTCTAGTTATACGCCGATCTATATATACTTGAAAAGACGACACCTCAATATGTACGTTTTGTACATAATCCCGCTCTGTTTTAAGTGTTCATACGAGTATATAAGCCATGGTTCACAGAAAAAGGTATGGCTCCTGAAAATGTCCCACACATCAATTTTTCTTCATCACTTGAAAGTCATTCATAAACACACAAACAAATGATATAGTCCGAATAGTACAATAAAATTTCTTGCGCCTCTGGGAAGTTTTTGTTTTATTTTTTGTATCCTTAATTTTCTTGAAAAATGACATATGCTGAACAGTTGTCCATTGTGCTTGTTGTTGCTACTGTTGTTGTTGTTGTTGTTGTTTAAAGACGCACTCAGCAATATTACAGCTATACGACTATCTCTAAAGTCTGGACCAAACAATCCAGTGATCGATATCACGAGCATGGGTCTACGATGGGATACGATGACATGTGTCAACAAAGTCAGCGAGCCCGGCCACCCGATCCCGTTAGTCGCTTCTTACAACAATCATGGGTTACTGAAGACGCAAAATTAACAAGATATTAATGGACACCAGAACATGTAACATATCAATGTGTTAATAAAAGAACATTGTTTGCATTAAAGCATGGATACCTTATGCAATTATAACATTGTTTGCATTAAAGCATGGATACCTTATGCAATTATAACATTGTTTGCATTAAAGCATGGATACCTCACGCAATTATAACATTGTTTGCATTAAAGCATGGATACCTCACGCAATTATAACATTGTTTGCATTAAAGCATGGATACCTCACGCAATTATAACATTGTTTGCATTAAAGCATGGATACCTTACGCAATTATAACATTGTTTGCATTAAAGCATGGATACCTCACGCAATTATAACATTGTTTGCATTAAAGCATGGATACCTCACGCAATTATAACATTGTTTGCATTAAAGCATGGATACCTCACCCAATTATAACATTGTTTGCATTAAAGCATGGATACCTCACGCAATTATAACATTGTTTGCATTAAAGCATGGATACCTCACGCAATTATAACATTGTTTGCATTAAAGCATGGATACCTCACGCAATTATAACATTGTTTGCATTAAAGCATGGATACCTCACCCAATTATAACATTGTTTGCAATAGCATGGATACCTCACGCAATTATAACATTGTTTGCTTTTGTTTATTCTTTTTTTAAGGAAGCTTGGGAAAAGGGATTAGCCAGGTAGTTCAAGGGCTTGTCGCGATGAATACCAGGGTTCGATTCCCCACGTGCCAATTTCTCGTGTCCTCCGTCATGACATACTGGAATATTGATAAAGACGGCGTACATTCATAACCACCCACTCTTTTAAGGTAGGGCAAAGGGCCTTATCAGACCATGTTATCTGAAATATGCTAGATAGGTGAGCTCGACTGGGGAATTGAGGCTCCTATCCGAGTTTGTTTTTACCCCTGTAGGGATTCACTTACAGGAATATGTTTCCGCAACCCACGATTGTTTTGAGGTGACAAAATTATAAGGAGGCTAGATGAAATGACTAGGTTGACATAGTCTAAATACCCGACAGCATAGGTTGTGGCTGAGTCTTGCCAAGACTGAATTATGTACGAGTAAATTATAAGGCTGCAATATGGCCAGCAATATTGCTATACCACCAGAAGACAAATAACAAGGAAACTAACAAGAAAAGCATGCACAGAAGACGAAATGAGACTCACCTGAGACCGCCAGCTTGGACACTGCTGTGAGCTGAATCACATGGTTTAATCTAACCTGTACTGATTGTGAACTGCGGTCTCTCTCTCACACTGATAAAGTGTCTTGTTTATGAAATAAATAGGTTAGGTACAGTCTCTGATGTGTCGGAGACGTTACCTACATTTCCCGTTAACGTAACATTTTGTTTAAGATATTTCCAGTATTCTTGTAAACAGTGTAAATTTGGAAAGTCATCGCAGAATCAAAGGCAAGAAATAAGATTCTTTTTTATTCCCCGGTTGATGATACAGTTGTTAGATTCACATACCTCCGGCAGTGTTCTTATCATATGCTGTATGTTCTGTACTTGCCCAAGTTGTCCTACACCTGTCCTACATTTAGTTCAGATGTCCTAAACGTCCTACAGATGTTCTATATGGCTAACACGTATATTTATGTCATATATATGTCCTAATTGTCCTTCACGTGTCTCCTGCACACGTCTTACAGGTGTCTTACATACGCTGCACGTGTTTCATATGGTCTACCTGTATCACACATATCATATAGGTCCTACTCGCGTTCTATATGTTTCTATTTGACCATCCACAAGTCACATGTCCTACACATGATGCACATGTCCTACACATGATGCACATGTCCTACACATGATGCACATGTCCTACAGGTGTCTTACATATGCTGCACGTGTTCCGCGTGGCCTACATCTGTTTGTATGTCTACACATGTCCTATTTATCCAACATATGTTCTATTTATCCAACATATGTTCTATCTATCCTATTTATCCAACATATGTCATATTTATCCAACCTATGTCCTATTTATCCGACATATGTTCTATTTGTCCAACATTTGTTCTATCTATCGAACATGTGCCCTATTTATCCAACATGAGTCCTACTTATCCAACATATGTCCAATTTATCCAACATATGTTCTATTTATCCAACATATGTTCTATCTATCCAACATATGCCCTATTTATCCACCATATGTCCTATTTATCCAACAGATGCCCTATTTATCGAACATATGTTCTATTTATCTAACATATGTTCTATCTATCCAACATATCTCCTATTTATCCAATATATCTCCTATTTATCCAACAGATGTCCTATTTATCCAACATATGCCCTATTTATCCAACATATGTCCTATTTATCCAACATATGTTCTATCTATCCTACTTATCCAACATATGTTCTATTTATCCAACAGATGTCCGATTTATCCAACATATGCCCTATTTATCCAACATATGTCCCATTTATCCAACATATGTTCTATCTATCCAACATATGCCCTATTTATCCAACATATGTCCTATTTATCCAACATCTGTCCTATTTATCCAACATATGTTCTATTTATCCAACATATGTTCTATCTATCCAACATATGCCCTATTTATCCACCATATGTCCTATTTATCCAACAGATGTCCTATTTATCCAACATATGTCCAATTTATCCAACATATGTTCTATTTATCCGACATATTTTCTATCTATCCAACATATGCCCTATTTATCCAACATATCTCCTATTTATCCACCATATGTCCTATTTATCCACCATATGTTCTATTTATCCAACATATGTTCTATCTATCCAACATATGCCCTATTTATCCAACATATGTCCTATTTATCCAACATACGTTCTATCTATCCAACATATGTTCTATTTATCCAACATATGTTTTATCTATCCAACATATACCCTATTTATCCAACATATATCCAACATATGTTCTATATGTCATATTGGTCCAGTAACATTCTCCTTGTGCATGATTAGCATGTCGACGTCCTACACATTACCTACACGTTTCCCACTTATCCTACAAGTGTCCTTATATACCACATCTGTCCTATATGCGCTGCACATGTCCTGCACACGTAATATATGTCCCCGACGTGTCCCATTTCTCCTGCACATGCATTCCCCAGACGTTCTATTCATCCTATATTTATTACCCATATGGACAGGAGGACACAGGGTAGTATTTTTCCTGTAAATCCCTAGGGAGGTTACACCTTTTGGTGAACGTTGATTGGCTGTTTCAGAAAATATACAGCCAATCACAGGCGTGGGGAAAAGGGGATTCCCGCGGGTTTTTTTACAGAGGAACTGATGTTTTCATTTTAGCGTTTTTAGAATAAAAAACGGGTATGGGTAATAAAACCAATAACCGATTCGTAACTGGGAATGACAGATTATCTTTCCCGAATTATATTAATTACGTAATTCTCAAGCTTTGGCGAGAGAAATTCTAGTACATAATTAATGTAATTCGGTAAAGATAATCTGTAATTCCCCGTCACTCGTTAGTTATTGTCTAAATCCTTCACATCTCTTACATGACCTACACATGTACCACATAAACACACTCTTGTCCACATGTCATGCAATGCCCTATGCATATCCCATAGGTCCTTCACATGTCTCAATTGTCCTTCAGATGTCTCAACTGTCCTTCACATGTCTCAATTGTCCTCCACACGTCTCAATTGCCCTTCACATGTCTCAGTTGTCCTCCACACGTCTCAATTGTCCTTCAGTAACCCGTGCTTGTCGTAAGAGGCGACTAACGGGATCGGTTGGTCAGGCTCGCTGATTTTGTTGACACATGTCACCGTATCCCAATTGCGTAGATCGATGCTCATGATGTTAATCATTGGATTGTCTGTTCCAGACTGGATTGATTACAGACCGCAGCCATATAGCTGGAATGTTGCTGAGTGTGGCTTAAAACTAAACTCACTCACTCACTATGTATACGACAAATGACGTATATATATATGTCCAACACGCGTCCCTATATACGTGCTCTGTATGTCCACACCCTACCTTCATCTAAACGGGTGGTATAATGAACCCGGTTCTAGCAATCGGTTGGTCATGGCAAGCACCGCCATTATATTTGACCTGCCTTAAATTTATTCACTTAATTATATATCATAATATATTTATAATTATAGGGTCTTGGTCAAATAAACTTCAATACCTGATAATGTCTTGATGTCCTAACTGTCCTATATGTACCCCTATATGTACCCCTATTTGTCGCTGTGAGGCCTATACGTACCCCTATATGTCGCTGTGTGGACTATATGTACCCATATATGTACCCCTATATGTCGCTGTGTGGCCTATATGTACCCCTATATGTCGCTGTTTGGCCTATATGAACCCCTATTTGTCGCTGTGTGGCCTATATGTACCCATATATTTTTCGCTGTGTGGACTTTATGTACCCCTATATGTCGCTGTGTGGACGTTATGTACCCCTATTTGTCGCTGTGTGGACTTTATGTACCCCTATATGTCGCTGTGTGGACTTTATGTACCCCTATTTGTCGCTGTGTGGACTTTATGTACCCCTATATGTCGCTGTGTGGACTATATGTACAATTATATGTCGATGTGTGGACTATATGTACCCCTACATGTCGATGTGTGGACTATATGTGCCCCTTTCTGTCGGTGTGTGGACTATATGTACCCCCATATGTCGATGTGTTGACTATATGTACCCCTATATGTCGATGTGTGGACTATATGTACCCCTATCTGTCGCTGTGTGGACTATATGTACCCCCATATGTCGATGTGTTGACTATATGTACCCCTATATGTCGATGTGTGGACTATATGTAACCCTATATGTCGCTGTGTGGCCTATATGTACCCCTATTTGTGCCCCAAAATGGCGCTGTGTGGACGATATGTACCCCTATACGTACCCCTATATGTCGCTGTGTGGACTATATGTACCCCTATATGTCGCTGTGTGGACTATATGTACCCCTAAATGTCGCTGTGTGAACTATATGTACCCCTACATGTCGCTGTGTGGCCTATATGTACCCCTATATGTCGCTGTGTGGCCTATATGTACCCCTATATGTCGCTGTGTTGACTATATGTACCCCTATATGTCGATGTGTGGACTATATGTACCCCTATCTGTCGCTGTGTGGACTATATGTACCCCCATATGTCGATGTGTTGACTATATGTACCCCTATATGTCGATGTGTGGACTATATGTAACCCTATATGTCGCTGTGTGGCCTATATGTACCCGTATTTGTGCCCCAAAATGTCGCTGTGTGGACGATATGTACCCCTATACGTACCCCTATATGTCGCTGTGTGGACTATATGTACCCCTATATGTCGCTGTGTGGACTATATGTACCCCTAAATGTCGCTGTGTGAACTATATGTACCCCTACATGTCGCTGTGTGGCCTATATGTACCCCTATATGTCGCTGTGTGGCCTATATGTACCCCTATATGTCGCTGTGTTGCCTATATGTAACCCTTTATGTCGCTGTGGCCTATATGTACCCCTATATGTACCCCTATATGTCGCTGTGTGGCCTATATCTACCCCTATTTGTACCCCTATTTGTCGCTGTGTGGACTATATGTACCCATATATGTACCCCTATATGTCGCTGTGTGCACTATATGTGCCCCTATATGTCGCTGTGTTGCCTACATGTACCCCTATATGTACCCATTATATGTCGCTGTGTTGACTATATGTACCCCTATCTGTCGGTGTGTGGCCTATATCTACCCCTACATGTCGCTGTGTGGCCTATATGTACCCCTATTTGTACCCCTATTTCTCGCTCTGTGGACTATATGTACCACTATACCTACCCCTATATGTCGCTGTGTGGACTATATGTACCCCTATATATTGCTGTGTGGCCTAAATGTTCCCTATATGCCGCTGTGTTGACTATATGTAACCCTATATGTCGCTGTGTGGCCTATATGTACACCTATATGTACTCCTATTTGTGGCTATGTGGCCTATATGTACCCCTATATGTCGCTGTGTGGACTATATGCACCCCTATATGTCGCTGTGTGGGCTATATGTACCCCTATCTCTACCCCTATTTGTCGCTGTGTGGACTCTATGTACCCCTATTTGTCGCTGTGTTGACTATATGCACCCCTATATGTGGCTGTGTGGCCTATATGTACCCCTATATGTCGCTGT